TGAAATATCTTGTGCCAAATAATAGCAAAGTGCTCGGAGAATAATGACAGCATATCAAAAGGATGCAGGAGCCAATTCGAAAGGGCTCACACTGCCCAAATCTGGGACAATTTTAACATTATAATAAATGTGGAAAGTAAAGGTTTATAACCTATTGGAAAAACAAGGAATCCAAGTGTCTACACTGACGCAAATAAATAAATATGTAAATGTCCTTCCTTACGGTAGAAAACCAGCAGTAAAAAGACGATGGAATTTTAAAAAATAGTATTTGGCAATCGCAACAATAATTGATTTGGAAAAGGATTTTAACAGATGCTAAAACCAGAGGGTGAAAGCATGAGGAATAGCCGGGTATTTTCGTAGTCTCAGATTAGCTCTCCAAAGGCTACTTAGTAATTACCCAGGGTAAAATAGCAACTTTATAGTGGATACCACTGTAAACCCATGATCAAGGCTAATATCGCTAGTAATGGGGTTAATTGACTCGTGCCCCCGACACAACGCCCTGGGAGGACCTCAGCTTCGCTCCTCTGGTCTTCCTGCCCAAAGCACTCGTCAGAATCTATTCAGGAGGAATCACCAGACAAACCCGAATTTAGAGACATTCTACCAAGTGACTGGCTGGGTGTTCTTCACAAAAGTCAAATCACGAAAGACAAAGAGGCAGGAACTGTTTCAGAATAACGAAGGTCTAAAGAGATATAATAGCTAAATGCAACACACGTTCTTGGGTTGTTTTGTGAGAAAGGACATTATCATGAAATCTGAATAAGGTCTGAAGATTAGATAAGAAATTTCTTGTTTTTAGGAAATATGCACTGATTTATTCAGGGGTAAATGAACATCATGTCCTAAATGGTTCAGAAAAGAGAGACGGGGGCAGAGAGGAACACACCAAGTAACATAGTAAAATATTAATATTTGGGGACCTGAATAAAGGGTATTTAGGATGCTTTTGTAATATTTTGCAACTTTTCTGTAAATGTGAATCACATTGGAATTTTTTTTTAGTAAAACATAAAGCATCTCTTCTGCAAATTGCTTGACACTCTCCCCATCAAGAGGTGATGTCTAATCCCTGCCCTTGAACAAGGTCTGGCCTTGGGGACTCACTTCCAAGGAGTACGGCTCCTGGAGGCCAGGTCATAAAGGGAGATTCGGCGTCCACCCGGCTGACCCCTCTCAGGGCACGCACCCGTGAGCTCTGAGCCCCCATGTACGAAGTCCCCGGATTCTGAAGCCACTATGCTGGAGAGACCACAGGGAAGACCTGACCACACAGAGACGGGAATAGGGCGAAGAGAGCAAGACACAGAGTTTAAGGGAGCGCTAACCACTCACCTTCTGGGCCCAGCAGGGTGGATAGAGTGCAGGAATTAAGGTCACCTTCAAATTGAGTGTGTCTCTCTGGATGGGTGACCTTGCCTGAGTCCCTGGACCCTCCCCACGTCAACTGTCTCATCTGTTTAATGGGCAGTCCGGAAAGACCTTACCCCGTGTTTGTGAGGCTGCCAGGGCCACGGTGGAGGCACTGTGCTAGTTATAAAAGAGCATCCAGGTGTGGCACCACGATGGCACCACCACGTGCAACACCACCAGGGACTCGCTGTGTAAACACCTAGCTACTCACACCATTGCAGCACCTAAGACTGGGGTGTGTGTGTAGGAGAGCGAGGTGGAGAGAGACGTTGCATGTGCTGAGCCTACTCCATGCCAGACACTGCTCTAGGCTGAGAAGACAGTGGGGGCAAGACACAGCGACTCTCAGCTCTGGTGGCTGTTAGCTTCAGGATGACATACTTTACTCAAGCTAGGAGCCTCAAAGTCTTCTTAAAATGTACCAGGCCATAGCGTCCCTTAAAGAAGGAGAAAAGACAAGGGAAAAGAATAACGCAAAAATAACCTCAGTGTTATACACACTCACTTAATCCTCACCCAAACCTCTGGGGTTGACGGACCCATTTCTCAGGCATAGACACTGAAGCTAGGAGAGGTGCCCAAACTGCAACAACTAAGAAATGGGGGAGCTAAAATTCGAACTCGGACCCTGGAGCATCAAAGCCTGGGCTGTGTGGCTTTGTGGGCAGGCGGCTGGGACCTGGAGTCCGTCAGCCCGGGTCAGGGCCTCGCAGGGCTGGACACCTCTCTGTGTGGGGAACTGTCCTGTGCACTGTAGGGTGTTTAGCAGCATCCCTGGCCTCTCTCACAACCAGGAACACCCCACACCCAGTTGTGACAACCAAAAATGCCTCCAGACATGGCCAAACATCCTCCTGGGGGATGAAATCACCCCAATTGAGAACCACTGGCCTAGGTGCAAACCCTGGTCTCACCACTTGTTAGTCATATGGCCTTGGACAAGCAACTTAACCTCTCTGTGCCTCAGTGTCCTCATCTGTAAAATGGAAAAACAATGGTCTGTGAGGTTACTGTGGGGATCCAAGAAGGCTCAGGAAAGCACATGGCCATCCACGTCGGGGCTGCAGACACCGGCTCTTCTCTCCACTGCCCTCTGCTGCTTCCCCTCAAAACACGAAGGGGAGCTCAGAGCAGGTGCATGATGAAGGTCAGCTCACGTGTGGATATGGGAACACGTCGGTTAACAGGCGAATTAACTAACGAACAGGAACCTTCTGATCCAGGCGTCGTGCATTTGCTGATAGGGCACGCCCCTCGGCCCCTCTCAGCACTGCATGGCAGTTAAGATTAAAGGCTCCGTAGTGAGGCTGCCCGGGTTCAAGTCCAGTTCGGCCACTCAGGCGCTATGTGAGCCTGGGCTAGTGATCTAGCCTCCTAATGACTTCGTTTCCTCACTGTAAAATGGGGGTCACAAAGTGCCTGCCTCCCAGGGTTGTGAGCATTGAAGGAATTAGCACACGCGTGTATCCAGCACAGAATGAGTCTCTGTGGGGCCTGCTTTACTGCTCTTACTATCATAAGCACTAACCGTTCATCGGCCTCCAGCCTCTCTGCCACCTTTCTCTTCTCCCTGCGTGCCAGCACAGGCCCACTTCTAGGCCTTTCCACTTGCCATTCCCTCCCCCTGGAGCACTCTTCTTCATAGACATTAGGAGCATCGCTCCCACCTCATCTCTTCATCCAGTCTCCCTTCACATGCCTCTTCCGAGAAGCCCTCTTTGACCACCCTAAATAAAACAGCAGCTTCAGCCCTCTACTCACTTGGTTTTATTCTGCATCACATTGCTCATCAGGGACACGCTCTATCGGAGGCTATATGGTCTAGTACGCTGCAGTAGAGGACACGATAGCAGTGGTCATTTGCTTGTCTCTCTCCCACCAAAATGTAAGTTCTAAGACCTCAGAGTCTCTGACTGTAACCACATCCCGAGAACAGTGCCAGCACATAGTAGGTGTAAATAATCGTAATGAATGATGATTGATATTTTGCAGAAGGGACTTCCAAAGTCCTCCCATAACTCATTTTTCCTAACACAGAAATTATTCAGAGCCCTAGAATATTCGCCACAAAAGATTGTGCCTATAACAACCTGTCGTTTAGAATAGAACAGCTGAATTTTAGAGACTTCCAGATCAATCAGAGTTTCTCCGACCACGTTCCCTGCAACTGTGGTCTCCAGAGAGATGATAATAACAAATTCCACCAAACAAGGATCCACAAGGTCACACAGCTGGGAAACAATGCAGGATTCTCTCCCGCTTGGGAATTCACCAGGCATAGGAGAGCTCTAAGAAGCCCCGTCGAGAAAACAGATATTGTACCTGGGTTTGCTGAACTTACTTCACCCTAGCTCCCATCCATTACCATCCGCATCGTGATGCAGAATTCAGAAAATGGTGCTCTAGTATAAGTCTTTCAATTTACAGATACAAACAGAAAGTGAGGCCCAGAGAGGTCAACTGGCTCATTCAAAGTCACATAGCCACCTCCTGCATCCTAGAGCAGGGCGCTTTTCACTGCCCCTGATGTTTTCCCTATGGTCCACTTAGCTATCGTTTCACAAGAGGTCAAAAACTGAACACAGACGTAATATCAGTTTGACTAAATCATATATGAAAGCTAATGCACCAAATACGATTTGCTTTCAATCTCACTGCTCCAGAAATAGACAGTTATTCATTCAACAAATATTTATTAAGCATTATGTGCCAGGCACTGCACATTTTGCATTGAACGAGGCATGGTTCGGTAGACTGACAATAAAATTATAAAGAGTTCAAAATTGATTGAACTGTCCTTGAGACGCCTGCCTCAAAGTGGGGATTTGTAAGAAATTACATATTCACATTTCATTTGCTTCCATTAACAATGCTCACATTTAGATCTGATGGTAATAATACGCTCTCAACTGGAATGGCTCTGGAAGAAAACCCTCCCCTCCACGGTGCAGACTGCCGAGAGGAAAAACGAAAAGATGGGACCTCGCTGGGCACCTCAACCAACAGATTTTCCAATTTCAAGTTCATTTAAATTACATCTCTGGCTCTTCCATTTTATTTAAAATGCATTCCCTCATTTACTATTATCTACAAATCAAAATACCTATTGAAAAGTGGGATTTGTTTTTTAAAGCACATCGACTCACACATTTCAAAGTCCTTTGAAAGCACGATTTATCAAAAGCCACGTAACTACAGATTTGAGATGGAGAAAGCTCTAACTATTAATCTATATGATCTTCTCAGTGAACTGGCAGCATCTGCCTAGGAATCGGGAGAATTGTTTTATGTTATGCTATTTTAAAAAGAAGATTCCAAATGAGAAAAAAAAAAATTAGAATTCCAGGCTTGTAAAGTCGATATCTGATGCCATGGCATTGAAGCCAGCTTTTAGCACAGACTCGAGACGTGTGTGTCTAACACGCAAAAAAAACCTGAGAAATTGGAAGCTCTGCAAGGTCCCTTGCCCCTGTATGTATCATTAAGGGCCAAACTGTCTGCTTTGTAAGGATGCTGTCCTGGCTTCTCCAGGAGCTGTCCGGAAAATTAGTCTGGCAAAGCAAAGATAATCACCCCAAAACGCACATAATTTGTGTTTATTAGACACCAGAACAAATCAGGAAGAATTCCTCCGCTGTGGTAGAGACACACGGAGAGCAGAAACTGCATAAACACAGGGCCACAGGAAGCAAGGGACAGAAAAGCCACGCCCCCCCATCAGCACTACACACAGTGAACCTGTTGTTTAAAATCAACTCAAACAGAAATCACTGAACAATCCGTTTGTTTAAAAGGGGAGGGGAGAGTACATCTTTTAAAACCAAGTACCACTTTTTTTTTTTAAGCACCAAACACCACCTTCTCTTCTCTCACAGGATCACTGGTCCATCTCTGCTAGGCTGGGATATATGTGACTGAGTTACTTCCAACCGCCTCAGCCAATTCTTTCAACAACAAATCAGTAGTGAGGTTCCTAAGCACACGGGCTGCTATACAGACAGAAAACGTGATAAAATGAGCAGCACGGGAAACGTGTGTGTCCGTGTGTGTGTGTCTGCGAGCGTGTATGTGTGCATGTGTATTCTGCATGCTCGTTAATATCTGCGCAGTTATATACATCCATGAGGGGCTGGTTTCTTATGCAGCTTAATGGAATCCATTTGGGGTGAAAGTAGTTATTTTGCCTAATGAAATCTCCCTCTCACAGTCCAGCTCCCAGACTGAATCTGCAGCAGGGTCACCATTGGGGGACGTCTGAGAGATCTGGGACATACGATCGAAAGGGCCCTCCTCCTCCTCCTTGTCCACCTCCTCGTGCCCCGGGGCCACAGCGTTGGGGATCATATGGACGTAGGCGGCTGCGATCTCCTTGTGGAAGACGGTGTCTTGGTTGTAGGACATGAGCTCATTGCTGATGTTCACTGTCTCCACCGGGGTGCGTGAGCAGAGGTGGCTGCACCCCAGCAGCTGGGCAAACACCTTCCGGAAGTCGGCGTTGAAGGCGTAGATGATGGGGTTGAGCGAGGAGTTGGCCCAACCGAACCAGACAAAGACATCGAAGGTGGTCTCGCTGACGCAGGGGAAGGCGGCCCTCGGGCCCTCGGGGTGTCCGCTGCAGAACGGGACCATGCAGTTAAGGATGAAGAAGGGCAGCCAGCAGCACACGAAGACCCCCATGATCACCGACAGGGTCTGGAGGACCTTGGTCTCCTTCTTGATGGATGTCCGCAGGCTGGTGTCGGGCGCACAGGCTGCGCGGCTCCGGCAACTCTGCGCGTGCTCCACCGCTCTCTCCAAGGAGGAAATCCTGCGGATCTGCGCCTGTGCGATGCGGAAGATGCGCGTGTAGGTTACGATCATGATGGCCACGGGGATGTAGAAGCTGATGAGAGAGGAGGAGATTGCGTAAGTTCTGTTCAGGCTGGAGTCACAGTTCTCTGCCCTCACCTCTGGCTCCCCGGCTTCCTCCCAGGGCGTCCCGTTGGCCAGGTTGGATGGCGGGTCCATCCCGCCCCAGGAGCCTGCCTTGTCTCTGTGCCAGTGGAGCTGGACCGGGATGAAGGAGATGAGGATGGACAACGTCCAGGCCAGGCCGACCATGACCAAGGCCACGCGCTGGGTCATCTTACGCTCGTAGCGGAAGGGCCTGGAGATGGCCCAGTAGCGATCCACGCTGATGACGCACAGGTTCAGGATGGAGGCGGTGGAGCACATGATGTCAAAGGCCACCCAGACGTCGCAGAAGGCCCCAAAAGGCCAGTAACCGGCCACCTCGGCGACCGCCTTCCATGGCATGACCAGCAGCGCCACGAAGAGGTCGGACACGGCCAGAGACACGATGAAGACGTTGGTCATCTTGGCGCGTAGGTGGCGGCTGCTCACGATGGCCGCGCACACCAGCACGTTGCCCAGAAGGGTCCAGACGATGAGCAGGGTCAGGAGGCCGGCGGTGACCACCTGCGCGGGCCCCAGCGGCGCCGCCCCCTCCGAGCCCCCCACGGTGCCCCCCTGCGCCCGCTGCTGCTGCCCGAACCGCGCCCGGTACGCGGTGCCGTTGCGCCCCGGTGGCAGCATGTCGGGCTCGGCAGCAGGGGTGGGCTGCGCGCTGTCCCAACTTCAGCCCTGGGCCCCCCGGGCGGCCCCATCGGGCACCCAGGGGGTGGCGCGCCGGGACCCGCGGCTAAGGGATCCCTGAGCCCCGGGGGGAGCTCACCGTGCGCTGCGCCGGAGCCCTGGAGCGCGCGGGGACCCCTCTCGCTTCCTTGAGCACCTCCGGGTCGGTGGCCGCGTTGCGCCCCTCCAGGGCCGGCGCTGGGGGCAGGAAGCGGTCGGTGGCCGCGGAGCTGTTCCCGGGAGCCGGCAGCGCGCCGGGCGGCGGCGGCTGTGTCTGGTTCGGAGCCGGAGAAGGGAAGAGCGAACCGCCACCGAGGGGGCGGGGGCCGGGAGCCGCGCTGCTGCGCCGCCTCGTCCTTCGCTGCTCCCCGGGCCCGCGCGCCCGCCCCCCGCGCCTCCGCGCTCCCCTCTCCCGCGCGCCCGCCCCACCTGCGCTTGGCGCCCTCACTCCCGCGCACCGCCCGCCGGAGTCACGGAGGGAACCGGCGGGCGAGAGGCGCTCCAGGGCCCGACCCTCTCCCCGTGAGGGCAGAACGCGCCCCGGGAAGACGACGAGGTGCCTGGCCCAGCCCTGGTGCCCTGGCCCGCCAAGTCTGAGGAACAGCGAAGTGGGTAGGGATGGGGGCGGGGGGCAGTGGCGCGGAGTTCTAGCTTCTAGATGGGGAAAGAGCGGCTGTAGGGACTCACAGACCTGAGTCCCAATCCGGACTTTATTCCTGGCTGTGTGACCTTGAGCGCTCTACTTAACTTCGCTGAGCCTTGGTTTCCGCATCCACAAAATGGGGTAAGGATTCCTGCTCCTCCGAGCAGTGTAAAGGCTCAGCGACGCGCTGGCGGCCGTGTCTCCTAAGAGCGACTTCTCCCAGCCTCCCCCCAACATCCGTCCTAAGGTTGGGGCTTAACCTGACCTCTTGGGAGAGCCTTTTCCCCACCCCACCCCCAACCTTAAGCGATTTTTCATTTGGGGAGTAGCTTTGAATGAACCCCAAAGAGAAAGAGGAGGAAGGGAGCCTGCAGCCCGTTGGGAGCCTCTTGCCCTTCAGGGCACTTCCTCCGGCTCCCTCTTTTTTAACCTTGAGAGGGATGGATGAGTATCTCAGTGCATGACAGAAGAGGAAACTGATGCTTCACAGGTGTCCCAAAGCCCAGATATTTAAAAAGAATGGTGGGAAAACACTGGAAAGGGAGAGCAGTGTTCCTGGACCTCACCCCACCCCAGCGACAAGTTCCATTTGTGAACCACCAAGTCTCTCCCTTTCCGTCTCCTCCCCCTCCATCCCTCTCGTGTTAAGCTCAGCTGAAGGCCACCGGGGAGAGAAACGGATGCGGCAGCAGCATGCTACACAGTTCCATCTGGGACTGACCCAAACAGCTGCCCTGCGTCAAGGTCTAGAAACAAGGCTGGACTCTCACCCACTCCCTAATTGCTCGCTCTGCTCAGACCCTTCTGTTCCGTTCTTCCTGGCCCCCACCTGCCCCCTGGACCAACACCTACAAGGGCCCCGCTTCTCAGACCCGCCTGCACAGCCTTGTCCAGCCTCTTCCCCTTGACACCTTCTGCCCCTTGAGGGCTTTCTGCTCCTGGAGGCAGCAAGACCGTCTGTCCAGGTGTCTACACCTAAAACTGGAGAGTCATGCTCACCTCCTCTTTCTCCCCATCTTCTAGGAGCTGGACCACTCCTCTCTCCACTGACGTCCCTGTCCAGGACTGCGTCTTCTCCAACCTGTTTTATGGTGACACTAGCCTAGCCTCCAGGTCTGCCCTGATCCTCTGTCCGCGCTCCAATCAATGGCAGGCAGAGTGATCCTTCTCGGAAATCACTATGGTCCTGTCATTGCCCAGATGGAACACCCCCTGTCGCTCCCTACCATCCCTGGTCCTTAGTCATGTGAAGTCTTTGGAGTCTGGTTGTCTTCTTGCCCTTGCTCAGTGCTCCTCCTGCTGCTCCTGCTCCCTCACATACAGCCTGGATGCAAGCTACTACCAAGGGCCAAAAAAAAAAGACCCCACCAATTGTAATTTCCCTAATGGTTATACGGTAATTCCTCATCCCGGAACGACCTCCACCCCGTCTTGTCCTCCTGGAGAGCAGCGACTTATGATGTCAGAAAAGAACGTGGGTTTTGGAGACAGGGCTTTGAATTTCAGTTCCTTATTCTTTTATTTAGCAAATATTTATTGAGCACCTATTATGTCCCAGATGCTCTTTCATTCACTGGGAATCCAAGGGTGTATAAAAAAATATATATTGTCCTTTCCCTCTGCGAGGTTATAGTCGAGGGTTGGAGACAGACCTTAGCCTGAGAATCATCCAAAGAAATGTATAATTAGAACTGAGACAAGTGCTCTGAAGGCAAAGTACGCAGCATTATGAAAGTGTCCAATAGGGGGTTGACCTGGACAAGACCCTTAGGCAGGGCTTCCCCGGGGAAGTCCATTTTTGCATTGCACTCACAGCTAAGTGGACAAATGGGGAGACAGAGAGAAGGAAGGACGCAGCAGGCAGGGAGAACGGGCATTTGCTAGCTGTGGGATCTTGGGCAAGTTGCTTGATCTCTCTGAGCCTGTGTTCTCGTCTTCAAAATGAGTTAATAGTAGTTTAAAAGGTAAGTGTGATGAGGCCAAAATAATTCCCGCATGAGTGGCTGCGAGCCTCCCTCTCGTCTGGCTGTGCCGCTACAGGGGCCTGGGCTGTCTCTGCAGAGGCTCCTGCCCTGGCTGTTGTGAGGGAGAGTCAGAAAGTGGGTGCATCATTGGACCTGCGAGCTGGAGGAGGAAGGAACCGTTCCAGAAGGAAGAGACTGTGTTCGTCTCTTCATAACAAAGAGCAGCAGGAGAAGAGTGGGAGAGGGACTGAACGCTCAGGGGCGTTTGCTGTGAGAGTGCTGAGCGAACTGGGGTCGTAGGAAAATGGATAGGAAAGGAAAAGGGGATTTTGGAGAAAGATCACCTATTGCCTTCCCAAAACTTAAGAAATGCAAGAAAACTACTTGAACTTGGAAATTATCTTCTTGGACAGAACACTGGAGATAGGACCATACGGACCATGGCTTTCTAAGTGATATGAAGCTCTTAACAATGTGGGCGCCCTTCCCTCCTTCTCACTCTAACTTAGTACCTCTCCAGGAAGCCCACCTGACTCTTCTGGACTGAGTGGGTGTCCTGGGCTCCAGGAGACCCCTGTGTGGGCTCATACTGCAGCAATTGTGACACTGTATTGTCATTGTTCATTTACACGGCTGTTTGGTCCTCTAGACTCTGAACTTCTTAAATCAAGGAACCGCATCTTATTCAGGTTTGAATTCCCCAAATCAACGCAATGAGTGGGTGCTTGACAAATCTTTATTGGTGGACGAGTAAAAAAGAGAGGGCTGTGTGCCTGACACTGTGACACCAATGGACAGACAGTTCAACCAACAAAAGCAGACACACGCTCACCACACAATTTTGCATTTGCTGAGGACCTACTATGCGGGGAGCAGGGAGGAGATGTACACAAGTTATAGCTGGGCTCAAGGGCTCCTGACTCTGTGGACTGCCCCGTGTCCTGGGCTCCAGGAGATCCCTGTGTTGCTTACAATGCAACAATTATGACACTGGAGGAGGTGGGGGGAGCAGGAGGGGGAGGGAAAGGGGAGGGGGAGAAGGAAAAGAGAGAGAGGAAGAGGAAAGGGAGGAAGGAAGAGAAGGGGAAGGGGAAAAAGAAATAGAGAAAGAGGAAATGACATCTTTGGACCCCTTGATCCAGTCAGACCCTGGTCTTTGCAGTTACAAATGCCAATCAATCTCCCTTTTGCTAACGTGTGTCTGAGTTGAGTTTCAGTTGTCTCCTGTGACCGAAGAAGCCCTGCCGGGCACAAGGAATAAACAAGGTTCAGTGGTGGCGTGAGGGCAAGGGGATGGACTGCCAGTTTGCGTGGGCAGCACCAAGAAGGGCTGCACAGAAGAGAGGACACTCAAGCTGGAGGGTGAAACAGAGCCCACCAGCATCTGAGGTAGAGAGACATTCCTAACAAAGGGAACAGCATGTGCAAAGGCCCAGAGGCACGAAACTTCATGTGTGAAAGGATAGATTTTCAGAACTCTAAGGCTTTTCCTTCTGTTTGTCCAAAAGACCATGTTTCTCATCATTTTTGGAAACTGAGAGTTTTCTATCAATAAGACCTCATGCATGCAAAGTAACAATCTGCAGCTCGTGTCTCTCCCATCTTCACAGGAGGGCTCCTGGAGTGGTTTGTCTGCTGGGGATGATGGTTTTGTGTAAGCAGTGGCTGCCTTCTCTCACCCAGCCTCTTTCCCACATCCTTCAAAAGAGCTGGGCAGAGCCAGCAACTGAAACCGAGGAGTGTCTTTAGTCAGCCTCAGAACCCAGCCTCGTCAGTGCGGACTCCAACCAACAGGACAGCTAATAAACTCCTCCTCTTATTTTCTCCAGCCAGACTCCTGCCCTCAGAGGCTGACAGGGAGGACGTGATCCGCTCACACGTTTGGCTCCTGCCAGATTGTACTAAGAGGATTTGCTGAGAGCAATTTAGCACAGAGAGGGTTTTCCTAATCCGTCAGCAAATATTATTCTATTTGAATTCGTTGATCCTCCTTTTTCTGAAGATATATTTTAAATTGGATTTGCTTCACTGAGACAAATCGCAAAATCAATAGGACAAGAGCCAGGATTTTGCCGCTGCTGCCACAGCTGGTGTCAAAAGACTGAACCGTGTTTTACAGGCAGAAAGGCCTGGTTCCTTGGCTACAGGATACACCTGAGCTCCCTGTGCCAGCCCTGCCAGCGTGCTCAGCTCGGCTCAGTGGAGCCCAGGCAGAAAGGCAGAGAGGACCCAGCCACGTGCATCCCCGTGGCTGGAAAAGCCACCCCGAGCACACGTCCATTGATGGTGACCTCCTCTTCAAGCCTCAGTCCCTGGGTCTCCCCGCCTCCCCAGCTCAGAAACGCAGCAGGCTGGGATCGGCCACTTCTGGCAGATCAAAAGAGCTATCTCAGAAGGTTAGCACCTTCTCGTAGACAGAGGAAGGAAGATGGGCTTGCAACTCAGAGAGTCCTGGGCTCAAACCCTCTTCTCTGACTTACTAGCTGTAGAAACTTGAGCAAGTGACTTCACTTCTTTGTGCCTCAGTTTCCTCATCTTTAAAATGGTAACACTAGTACTTACTATGCGGAGATATTATGAATAAATGACATGCTGTCTGTAGGACACGGTAAGTCTCTGTATTAGTCAAGTTTTGTTACCATAACGCTGTGTAACAAATAGCCCCAGGATCTCGGTGGCTTAAAATAACCAACATTTATTTCTCCCTAATGGTCTGTGGTCAGCTGAGAAAGCTTTGCCCTGAGATGGGGGTCAGTTCAGTTTGC